GAGAAAGGTTGCCTCCCACCAGGTGACCTTTGCAACACTTTAAACCAGGGGTGTCAAACTCCGGTGCTTGAGGGCCAGCATCCTGCTTGTTTTTGAGATATCCCTAATTTGCATGTTATCCAAATTTGACCAAGAACCAGTGACATATCATCTTTCATGAATTTTAACTAATCTTTGACAAACATTTTGTAACCACAAACAACAACAAAAATCACAACAGCAAATGTCAAAACTGAACGACACGGGAGCTTTCTGGGACTTTTTATGGATTAGTAGGATTGCTTCACGGGATGCCTTCATCTTATTTGATCGAAATGTTTCCTTCGCTGCTTGTCTTAACAAAAAAATTTTCACGTCTAGGGCTCGGCAGCTTTTAGAAAGAGCAAGGGGTGCAAGCGAAGCTTTTGAAATGCAGCTCAGATGTCAGCATTGCAGTCTAACTTGTGTCATTTGGGGATCGACACTGGGTAAACAACAATCACCACAGACCCCCAGTGCTTCTCTCGATTGTTTGATAGCTGAACTCATTCAGCCAGTGCATCTCCACCGAGACCATCTCAACAGGCTTTTTATCAAGGCCTCCTCCCCTGTGCTTCCTGCCTCAGAATCTAACAACCAAACCCAATCAGGCTGCCCAGCTGTGCATAATCACACTCGGCATGCTCCTCCTCTTCTTCTTCTCTCTTAGCACGGATAAAACGGTGGAAAGACTCCTTATGGGAGGTCCCAGCAGAGCTCAGACTGAAGCCTAATTGGTCAAATCACTGGCAGTCTGGCCACTGATTGTTAGTGTTTTGCAGAAAAATCCTCCTTGTCCTCAGTGCAAAGACGTGCTGAAGGAGCTTCTCAAACAGACACATTTGAGCGGCACAACTATGATCTCCAAAGGCTCAACGTGAATGATTGTCTAACCACAGTCATCAAGATTTGGCTCTTGGGTTGCTTTCTCTCAAAAATCAAAGTGGTTTGAATTGTCTATTTGGACCGAGACTTAAGATTATGAAGAAAAAAACACTCTTTTCCTTCAAACTATGTTTGTATATCCCCAAAATTCAGATCCTTATCTTAATATGTAGCTGAGCAGAATGTGAAATGGCAGATTGACATGCAAATGAGCAAGAAAGCAAAGCCAGAACCAGACTGTTCTTCCCTGAATCACTGGGACTCTGAGCTCAGACACAAGGACAGGCTAAAGTCAATGGGCTTTGATATGGAGAACTCTCTTGAGTCATCTGTGTGCCCAGTTCCTGTCAGCAGCTTCCCTCTGTCCTTTCCAAAAGTGAAAACAAGCTAATCAAAGACTGTAAATGCCTGGAACAGACTTTTACACCACAGTGAGGTTTTTGTTTGCATAGACATGATCAGTAGTGCAATATATTTTCATTATAATGATAAAATAAATGCACCAAACAGATAAGCTGTGGACTTGGCTAATTTGATTTAGAGTTTTATCTAATAAATTAATAAGAATAATAATTGATAAGAAGCCTAAATAAGCTTTTTAAAATACAAACTGTTATTTTTAACTGAATGAACAGAGGCGTAGTTACGGAGCAGGTCTCTGTACCCACCTAAAAGGAACTATCTGTAATAAAATCTGAAAATAGTCTTGGAGTTCACCATTACACCATTACGGTGTTTGCTTTGTCCAAAAGTCCAAATATCTTAATTATGATCGCTACTGGAAGGAAAATAATTTTTCTTTTATTAATCCACATTTAAAAAGCTGGAGCTCTGAAAGGTTAGTCTTAAATAAAGTATAAATAGATTAGATCAGTGCACTGTATTCCCTGTGGGACCCTGGCGCCATGAGAATGGTGTCAACCTTTAAATGTAGGAAATGCACATGAGGAGAGGAAGCTATAAGAGGAAGATATTTTTATAGTACTTTTCAAGCAATGGCAGTTGTTCGAGGCTCTTTGCCTAGTCTGTCTCTGATGGCAAAATGGCCTGAGTGCTCAGTAATATAGTAACTGCAGGGCATTAATCCAGCTTATTTATTCAAGAACTATTTGTTGCAAATCTACAATGCAATACAATAACTTTATTTATAGAGCACATTTAAAAACCAATGGTAGATCTAGGTGTGACCTACTCTTAAAACAAAAACTAGTGAAAAATGTTAAATGTATTGCTAAAGTAACTCCTGCCATCACGCCAAATAACTGACAACTTTTTTTATATAAATAAAAATATCTCTTATTGAAATAAAAGCTGGAGAGAAGCATAGTAATTGACCAAGCCATGACTTTCAAAGTGCATTTCAAGAACACACATGATATATGTAGTTGTATGACAATAACTTTTAAAAAGAGACTACACTCAACCCAGCTGCCATCACCACCTCCATGCTCCTCGATTCATTTATGTCCATATCTTTTTGGATGTTGACACAACTTTTGTAGTTTTGACACAAGGAGGAGAGAGAAAGACTGGGAAGCACTGCAAAACTGTAGTATAGCCACAGAATTCCTCCTGCTACCTCGTATCAGCAGCCACATCATCAAGAAACACTAGAGGCCCAGTTCCACATGCTAGTCGTACATCCCCTTTCTATACCCTTACCATTTTTAACAGATAATGTGGTATGCTTCAGATCATGAGACGTTTCTCTCCTTTTCCATACCTTTCTCCTTTCCCATTTTTGGTAAATCTCAGTTGCAACTGCCAAAACCATTGTCCAATTACTTTTGAGCCTATGAAAGTGGCGGTAAGTCTTAAACAGCACTGCTAATATTGCGCTTTTGTTGCCTGAAGTTAAAAATTCTCAAATTCAATTACATACAAATTGTTTGATTTAAAATCCAGTGTGGTAGTGTACAGAGAAAACAAATAAATGAATAAATGTGTCAGTGTCCACAAAAGAAGTAACAAAAAGAATGTGAAGGTGGCCTGCGACGTGATTGCTAGCTTGCTAGCTTGACGTGGGTGTCGAGGTAAGGCTTTCATTGGGAATGAAGGTTCAGTGGGAGGGAATAGTTAGTAGTGGAACTCGGGTAACATATGTTAGAATACGAGCATACGATAAATATTGATGCATATTGAACTAAATGTTTTTAATTCTCTGCCACTGATTTTTGTTTTACAGCAGCTGCACCAAAGGCTCACGTGCACAGTCACATCCAACATCATATCTAACTGCTGTGACAAATTCAAGGATAAAACATCGTTCCTCAGAAAACAAAGCGTTTGGAAAATGGTGCCTATGACCTAAACTTATGGGGTAAGTACGTGTCTGTGTGTGTGCGTGTGTGTGTGTGTGTGTTATTCCCATTTGCGAAACAGCATGTAATGCAGCTCATTAGTCACCCAGGACAAACATGTCAATATTTTGATCCATGTTCATGCGCGCAGGACTTGAAATTCATACAGTGTGGAAACTTCTGTGCATGTGCGTCGTGTGATTGTGTGTGTCTGTGTGTACGGGCGTGTTCCTTTATGCTCGGAGGAAAGCAGGCAGCGCATCTGACCATATGCTGGAGGCAGCCTGCCTATAACGTGTGTAAGACTAGGCACGTGAGGTGTTGCTATCAAACTGCAGCTGATAGCAGTTTTGTCGGCTTGCAGAATTAATGTCAGTTTGAGGCGGGCACGCTCTACTTCCTGTCGTTGGTTTCAAACAATTGTATCAAGCCAAGTGTAACCGTAGGAGCGCTCAAGCTGTGTTTCTGGGAATGCTGCCATGGCCAAGCTGGTGCACGGCTGGCAGGCCCACTTAGACACTTAAAGCATTTAAACACGCTCTCTCTGTCTCGCGCACAAACACACACAGGCTCTTACGCTGGTTATAGCATACTCATTGGGACCCTTTGCCTAAACCCTGTACATACACCCTACATCATATGCTCAACTTCAACCATTTTTCAACCTTGAGCTAATGTTAACTTAGAAGGAGAAATTGCCCTCACTTTACATGAAAGCAAGGCAATGAAAAACACAAACAAAAACACCTGCTCACCAGAGGAGCTCAAACTCTGAGCTTAACGCCCAGCACTGAAAACAAAGTCGACTTCTAAATAACGGGATGTTGCGTTAACAAAGAAGCCTGACTCTAAAGCATCTCTGGTGTCAAGCGGAGGACTTCTGCTGTGCTCACAGTTTGGGACTTTAAAAAGATACTTTCAATTAGAGGCGGAAAAAACGACGGAGGCACGCTGCGTCTGTAATTACCGTGCAATAGATGAATCATCATCCCAAGGAACAAGCTCACAGAACATCTCTTCTTTAGTGAGACTTAACAAAAAAAAAACTTTCACCAAACTCATTAAAAAGTTTGCGTGTGCTCTGTTACCTTTCTTCTATTGTTTGTAGTTCTCTGGCTGCCAACAAGCTGCAGCTGGTTTAGCCAATTTCTTGCCCCTGCTTTTAACGTATTTATGTGTGGAGCTGTGAGTAATGGCTCAGGGGGGGGAATCCACTAAGGTGTAGAGGAAGCAGGATGGATGCCCTAACCCTTCTTAATTAACTATTCATGAGACAATAGTCGCTCTCTATTTAGCTAATTGGACCATAGCTTCTAAGAAAAAAAGAAGTTTGCAGGAAAGTGTCAAAAAGTAACTTTGGATGTCTCAGTGTTGAAGTCCTGGCATGTTTTTCCCACTCCAATCAGTCAAAAATTCTGTGAACAGGCAATTATTCCACAAAATTGACATTGTTTTTTTTTTCAGATTATAATAAAACTTTTTGTAGGCATGGAAAGTATTTAATTTTGAAGTCATAAGCTTGACTGCCAGAAAATGCTTCTGCTGAATGCTTCTAGGGTTAAACTAGAGGCCTCAAAAGTCAACCGCCAGGTCAAACCACTCTGTTTGCTTCCAGCAAATACAAACCCAGAAAATAAAAGTGTACCCACTCCCCTCCTCCCCTTACACTAAAGCTCTTTTCAGCTTCACATTGAGAAAAGCTTTTAGGTGGCAAGCCCTGCTAAGTCTGTGAATGACACAAATGGCAAGCTTTTTTTTGGTTCCCAAACCTGAGGACGTCTTCCACAATAAAGCCCTTTGACCTGGCCAGCTCGGTCAGAAAGCTTCTCCTGCTGCGGCCCATTTTCCTCTCCACCAGGTACAGCCTGACATCCTCAAACTTCACCCTTTCACGCCTGGGAGCGCTTGCTTCGGCCGGCCTTGACCTCTTCCTCGCGCGAGGCACAATAGGAGTGTGGAACATCTCTGAGATGAGCTCTCTAAAGTATTTCTGCACCTCTAGGAATCGCCGCTTTTGTGAGTTTGTGTCGGTGTTGTTGTGCGCCACTTAACTTCCATCCAGGAAAAAAAGAAACACCTACTTTGGTAATGGTGCAGTTGTTTTTTTCACTTGTGGCTCTCTCTCTCTCTCTCTTTTTTTTTTTAATATTTGGGAGCAGAGTTGGTGAGAGCTGGCAGACAGGAAAAGCCTCTGGCAACAGGTGTTGAGGATTTGGTGTTTACCAAAAACCACCTGCCAAGATCGAGTGATTGAGGATGTGAGCGGGAGAAAAAAATAATCATTCTTTTTCTTTTTTTGAAAAACACTGTGCTGACGTGGTATTACTCATTTCCAGTGGAGCATTTTCAACAAACACACACTTGGAGGAAGTAAACAATTACTGATCCAGTAGCTGCTTCTTCCTCTTCTTCTTAAAAAGCTGCTCATAAAGTTTTCATGGACTTTCAATTCTGCTCCTCTCGACTGCCAGCGAGGCCTCTCGCTCCTGGGAGACGCCTGAATTCTGGTCACCTCACAAACCCCTCACAGCTGTCCTGCCATGTCCAGTTCGTCTCGCCACTCACCGTCTCATTATGTCCAGACCAAGCCTGCACCATCTGCTCTGCCGCTTTAATTAGCTTACTGCCTAAAACTGAGAGCCGTTGTGGGCATTTCCCCGGAGAGCCCGCAAGCTCGTGCACGGCCTTTGCACACATACAGGTACTGTATACGCAAGCCGTTGATGATTAGGAGCGTTTATCTGGGGAATACGGCTGCATATGGATCAGACAGAAATGCAGACTGAAAATAGATTTAATCAGCTGAATTCATCTATTCCTTTTGTTTCCAAAGAGGTAATTACAGCATGAGCCGTTGTCTCCTGTTGTTATGATTCCTGTGCTATGGCGGTGAGGAATGTAAAAGAAAAGGTTTCAGCGGGTCTTTGCTGTAATTGTCTGCAATAATGGATCTGCTTCAGTAGACCAAACAGCAATGATTTGTTGATTTAGGCGGGGGTGATGAAATCATTACAGGCCTTTATTCTACATCTAATTACCACAGGCTCTGTTCATTTCGTCACTTTAATAAGCACACCTTGTTTCTGTCTGCTACACAGAAATTATTACACAGATCTCATTACCGCCAAGTTCTGGGGGTTAACGGGTGTCACGGGGCAGACGCCACTAATTGTTTGACTGTTTACCCCCACCCATCCGCCATCCCAATCAGTCAGTTGTATATGAGGGTGCTGGCCCCCATCCAAACGTGAGACCGATGAAATTCTAACATCACTAAGACAAATGGCTCTCACACTGCCAGCAGCAATCGTTGCACGAGCAATGAATCCAATTTCTCTTTCACCTTTCTTGTGTAGCTCCGTGGGTGCAAGAGAAAATTGTCTAATAATTACAATTATGGTGCATATTCAGTTCCATTTAGAAAGGACAAAGTGACAGTCATATCTTGATTTTTTTTTATTTACCCCAACACAACTCTTGTGTTGGGGTTTTATAGTCTTGTTAGACTATAATAAGCCATTACAAGCACACACATATTCAAACAATGCATGCTGTGCTCAAAGAAAGTTCACGTACAATACTGGAATCAAAAGAAATACAATAAAAAAGTAGCCAGACCTCCACATATTAGACAGACAGACAGACAATTTGTAGATAGCAACCTTTTGCAACTTTAACTTAATTTAAGTTTCAAAATACCAGTTTGACATGATGCACTTTGTGGTGACATGTGCATTGTTAGAACCATCAGAACATGGGTGCATGCATGGACAGCGTATGCAGTTCATACCCAGGTAGGCTTTGGCCTTTGAACAATGCTCAGTTGACACTAAAGGGTCCAAAGAGTACCAGGAAAATATTCCCCACAACATTGCACTACCACCCTGAGCTCTTGATACAAGGCAGGATGGGATACATGCTCCAATTAGCTTAAAACTCGTTTTAACTTCTTTCTGCTAAGACGACAGTATAGTCAGTTTATCAGAATTTTT